TTTAAGAAACACTATGGTTGTTATATTGAAGTTATGAATTTCATTTACTTTTGCAGACCTGCTCTCTTAAGAAGTGGAGTTTCCCAAGATCTTCTGCTTGGACGTTGGAGACTGACCCTAGAGCTGTTTGGTAGAGTCTTCATAGATGATGTTGGAGCTGAACCAGGCTCTATCATTGCCCAGCTAGGAGGATTCCCAGTCAAAGAAGCCAAATTTAGACGGGAAATGGAAAAGTTGAGAAATTGCCAGCAGCGTGATTTGAATCTGACAAAGGTAAGTTCATCTTTCCTTTACCAACTGCATTTGAATATCATTTTTATTTCACTTCATTCTATACCATTGCTCTAAATGGAAGTGTTTCCCATTGATCCAGAAGCTAGGTGTTACTTGAATGTGTGAAGTCCATGCAAGCACTGAGATACGTTTAGTTATATTTGTATGTTTGCAGAGTTTACTTTTTTCTTCTTTTTTCATTATTGATGAATTTAGTGAATATCAATAGTGAAATTCAAATTTGAATTGTTTAGGCAATGATTTTAAGGGGGATTTATCTACCACTAACATTATCTAACTAAGATTACTATATATAAGAAGATTAACATGTCCACATTTTTTGCTTCATTTCATTAAATGCACAGAGACTGATATTTCTTTTTTTATTTTCACTAAGGAACATTTTCCCAGGCATATGATAAAGGATTTTACTTAAAGCTGATAAACAACTAATTATTTTTATAATTTATACACATTCTGAATACATGTATCATTTGTATATTGTCTTTGTTTCCAAAATAATTATAGTTACCTGTTCCAACCAGATCGACCGTGAGAGAGGACAGTTGATCACCCAGACATTCAAGGAACTCAACACTCAGTACAACAACTATCACCGTCGAGGAACACAGTCATCACCACCCTTGGCTGTTAACCGAGTTAAAGTGACATTCCGTGATGAGCCAGGGGAAGGCTCTGGTGTTGCTAGATCATTTTACACAGCCATTGCAGAGGCCCTGTTGTCAGGGGAGAAACTCCCGAGCCTGGAATCTTGCCAGGTGAGGCCAAAAGAAGTATGTTACCTGCTCATTATGTTCCTTAGGCTTGTAACTTAACCAACATTTTGTGCATGTTTTTATTTCTTTCCATTTAAGATAGATGTCAATTTACCCTTTTTATCTGTTTTAATATTCATTAAAAAATGCTTTTACTAGTCTTTTGTTTGATGTAATGCCTCTTTTGATATTTACTAATTTCATCTCTGTTCTATATTTTCTTTAACCTTGATAGTAATTCTCAAAGACTAGGTAATATTTATGTGTGCTTCTTAAATTTTATACCTTTTGGTTGACAGGTTTAAGAGCGATAGATTATTTTCTGCACTGATTTTCATTACTTTCTTCTATTTATTTATTTATTTATTTATTTATTTGTCCTCTGAAAAGGCCCTTTATGAGGAAGTTGACAAATATTTTTCATTGATATTACTTGCTTTTCAGGTTGGATTGCCTGTAGTTCGGTATAGTCTATATGGTCAGTACAAGGGGCGAGACAGAGATCGTCGCCAGGGAGCCTCGTCATCAAGGTCATTGCAGAGAAGAGATGCCCGCAAGACGCTCTCTGTAGATGCGCGACCCTTCTACATGACGGGCGAGGGCAGTAGTAATGAACACTTACCATCAAATATGCTACAGATTGGTGAAGCCTTGTTCCCAAAGGTGCAGAGTCTTAGACCAGTAAGTAATACTCATTATTATTATTATTATTTATTATTATTATTATTTGATTTTATTTATTATTTTTTTTTTTAAGTCACTGAGTACTTTTATAAATCTGAGTAAGTTACATAAGTTCAGCAGAAATATAACTATTGAAAATTTTCAGTCTTTGGCAAGCAAGATCACAGGGATGCTTCTAGAACTGACACATGCTCAGTTGCTCCTTCTGTCTGCAAGCGAAGATGCCCTGCGCCAGAAAGTAGACGAGGCAGTGGATCTTATCCTTGCTCAGGGTCGTGACCACACACCAGAATATTCTCCATCCCATCAAGGCAAGTTCTTTTTTCTAAGAAATGGTTTAGTGTGTTAATTAGATGCCCTAATAAGCGAAAATGATTGCTTTTTACTTATTTCCACACCATTTTGGGCTTGCATGGTAGTGAAATTACTAATTTGGACTGTGCTTCCAGATACAGATGAAGGTGGGGAGGAACCTGAGGATGCAAGTGCTCCCCTGTTCTACCAGCCAGGGAAAAGAGGATTCTACTCTCCTCGCCAGGGTCGCCCAACTCCCGAGAGACTTAATGCCTTCCGCAATGTTGGCAGGTACAGTACATTATTTCTCAAGTTGTTGGTGATCAATGACATGCATGTTGTTCCTATTTATATTTATTATTATTATTATTATTATTAGTTTTTTTTACTTATATATTTTTTCTCCACACCAACAGGTTACTTGGGTTATGCCTGTTGCAGAATGAATTGTGCCCAATCTACCTAAACCGCCATGTCCTCAAGTACATCCTAGGACGCCCCATTCGTTTCCATGACTTGGCCTTTTTTGACCCTGTCATGTATGAAAGCTTGCGAAAGCTGGTGCTGGATGCAGAGAACAAAGACACCGGAGCTGATGTGTTCAAAGCTCTGGACCTTACCTTCAGGTGATTTTTGTTATTGGTTTTCAGATGTTTATCTTTGTCGTCATTGTCATCAAATACACCATAATCATATACATCATGATCATCAATCATCATCCATCATCCATCATCATCAGTCACCATCAGTCATCATCATCATCATGGCATTTGTATAAACATTCTTTATTTTGATTGTGGTTTGTTTAACTGCCCCCTTTCCCATTCACATACACATACACATACACATCAACAAGTGCCTAGTCACTAAGGAGTCAAATACTAAGACTACCTATCTCACCTGCTAACCTCATTTTCTTGATTTTTGGAAACATTCTCTTTTATCTTGTATTGTTATTAGTAATGTTCACTGCATTAACCCATCAACTGAGGTATTAGATATTGGCTAGTGGACAGCAATGTGGATTAGTGGCACTCAGTTGGTAGTTTCCTGTTTGCATCTGGCTCCCTTGGTATTTCAAGCACAATGATAGTTACCTAATAACTTGTAGTTGTATTTTATAAACAAAATTATGAAAAGTGAACCTTTCCCTTCTCTCAAAGTGCCTGTATCAAATATTGACGCCAAACGAATGATGTTGCTACTTTTGAGTTCCCTCTTGATGAAATAATGACTTGGGGTTTGTTGTTATTTAGTGTCATCTGCAACTAGGTCCACCGTAGCCATTGTGGGATTTTGTTGCCTTTGAGACCAAAGGATTAACAGTTATAATGTCTTTGATAATAATAACAGCATTGATATTGATAACTTTAGTAAAGAAAAATATCTGAACACGCAAGGGAAGGAGAAATCAGGTGAGATCATGAGTTCTACTAATTGACTCCCTAGTGGCTGACCACCTGTGGAGCCATCTACAAGTATAGATATTTCACAAAACAAACTACAATGAACATTACATTTTCCCAATGGCAGGTAGTAAGCTTAATCATTAATCCACAATTGACAAAGATGAATAATGTGTTCTTTCTATTTTTCAGCATTGATGTAATTCCTGAAGAAGGTGGCACAAATATAGAACTGATTAGTGGTGGCAGAAATGTGGAGGTGACAACAGCTAATGTATATGACTATGTCCGCAAGTATGCAGAGTATCGCATGGTAAAATCTGAAGAGAAGGCCCTACAGGTATGACATTCACTGTAATTTAATTTTTGTTCTTTGCTAATTTGATCTGAATTTCATGGAGATTTTGCATGATGGACATATTGATAAATGAGCTGGGGTTAGAATGGAAGCCATAACTTAGGATTATTGCATATAATACTGAACAAGTATATACTATTCAAGTATCCATAATAGTGTATTGATAAATTCTTTGGGACATATGTTATGAAGTAAACCTCCTGTTGCAGAATATTCGTGATGGTGTATTCGATGTAATCCCAGGAGGATCCCTAGATTCCCTAACAGCTGAAGACCTGAGGCTGTTGTTAAATGGGGTTGGGGACATCAATGTAGCTACACTTATATCCTATACGTCTTTCAATGATGAGAGTGCGGAATCATCAGACCGTCTTCACAAGTTCAAACGGTGGCTATGGTCTATAGTTGAGAAAATGACAAACCAGGAAAAGCAGGACTTGGTATGTATATTTTTATTATGGTATTTTTAAACTTACTTTTAGCATTCTCTATGATTCCTTTTTAGCCAAATGTTATTTTCGATTACTATTTAGTCATAGTAATATTTGTAAGTGGTGAATGTCTTTTATTGATGCTTTCAGTATACCATTTGATATATAATACAATATATCCTTTAACAGTAATGTACTAAGCACAATTTTCCCTTGATCACAGGTATACTTCTGGACCGGTTCTCCTGCTCTGCCCGCCTCAGAAGAAGGATTCCAGCCAATGCCATCTGTCACTATCAGACCAGCTGACGACTCGCATCTACCTACAGCAAACACTTGCATTAGCCGCCTATATATTCCTTTGTATTCTACTCGTGCTATTTTGCGATCTAAACTGTTGTTAGCCATCAAGACTAAAAACTTTGGCTTTGTGTGAGTGTAACCCAAGAAGCTTAAAATTTGTGGCAGACTTTGAACCATGTTGAATTATAATAAAGCAGTTAGTGACTAATGAACGTCTAAGGGAACATGAATTGTGTATGGTGACTGCAAGCGAGACAGATGGAGTCGAGTGAGCAAATAAACAAGATGATTTTGGGAGTGCTGGTCATATGGCATAGGAATTTGAAAATTCTTTGGCTTACTAGTGTTGTGCCTGTACGAAAGAACTATTATTTTGTGTGATTGGAATCTGTGGCCTCCAGGTTTGGCTGGCTAGACTTAAATCTTGTGTGCATTCCCTGATTTCAAATAAATGAAATTCATATTCAGCTATTTG